GGGGGGAGTGGAAAGAGCCACCCCCACACATGCAAGATAAAACCCCATGTAAGAAGAGCTTATGGTCCCCATGCCAACTGGATGCCAATGGTCTTATCCGTTAGCTATGAGCACAATAAGGATACCCAAGGAACAATCCCCAAATCTCTGGCTTAAAACAGTAATCATTTACTATATCTTCTACTCTTACTTTCTGGGCTGGCTGCATGACTCTGCTGATTTCAGCTGGCAGTTGGCCAGTCCAAGCTGGTCTGGGCTGGAGCAGTTCAGTTCTGCTGCATATGCCTGTCCTTTCACACTTGGTACCAACTGACTAGCCCAGGAATGTTCTTGTTACAGCAATGGGCAGAGACGCAAGAAAGCAAATCTAATTGCACAAGCACTTTCCAAACCTTTGGCCTCTCATGTCCGTTAATATCCCATTGACCCAAGAGAGTCACGTTACTGGGCCCAGTTAAGGGATAGGAAAATCAATGGCATATCCTCTCACATGGCAAGGGGCGTAGATTTAGGGACAGTGAAAACAGGGCCTACTAATGTACTCTTCTCAGTTTGCCATCGTAGCCCCAATTATTATTCATGTCCCTCCCATCCAGGACCCCCAAAAGTCTCATCCAATCACGGCACCAGGTTTGAAGTCCGGGATCTTAAGATCACATGAAGTCTATATGTGCCTTCTTTTGATCCGGAGACCTAGGAGCTAAAAACACAAGTCTCCTGCCCTTCCCATATTTATTGGTGAAAGTGACACAGCATAACCAGAACTTACCCTCATTTCAAAGAAGAGGGTAAGGAAGCCGAAAGTTTCCATAGCAACGCCGAAGTGCTGCTACGAAAACACTGACAGATTCTCCTGCTTGCGGGGTGGGGACTGTTCCTTGATCAAGCCCTGGAATGTTCCTCTGCCCCCTGGGAGGGGCTCCCCAGGCCATGGTTTCCCCAGGTTCTTGCTTCTGCCCTCCGAGATGTCCTTCCTTTTCCATCGCCTTCCTTGACACCTTCTGAAGAGGGCAATTGGAATGTACCTATAGCAAACTGGGGCACAGAAGGCTCTACGTTTCAAACTATGTAGGTGTCTTTTCATCCAGGCTGGCAGAACTGTCATCAATACAATTTTCTCAATAATGATGTGAATTTTTTTACAAATTGCTTTATGTGCCAAAAAGCCATATCCATAATTCTTTTTGAGATATGCTTCTCTCCTGAGACTTAGTTATTGGAATTTTGGGCATGTCAGGCAGCTGTGGACCAACACACTTACGCCTCCATAATGCCCGTTTTTCCAGCCATGAGGGTCTCCGAGGCCCTATCTTAAGTGACATCCTGATTTGTTCTTTACCCTGAGTCTGTGACTTCCTGGCAGGCTTTGGATTTACTCTTTGCTCTCAGGCTGTAACTTAATTTGGGACTCTTTGCTACCTGGAGAGGCTAGAGATGAGAAGCCTGGTTCGTTTTTGTTTTTTCATTAAATCAACTTAGCAAGTTTAAAATAAGTTAAATTTAATTAAATTTTGTTCCTTCTTTTGTACTCATGCCTTTTTTATAGTAAGCTTAGAATACTCAGATAAAAGCAGCCAGTTCATGCTTTCAACACTTGGGAGATCTCTTCGCCCAAGTCCAGAAGTTCATTAAGTCTGTTTTCTTTCTTCCACGCTACTGCCCTACGTACATGGCTTGTCGTTTTTCCAGACTCCCCACCACCCTCTGCCTGGTCTGCAAACAAATACCATAGGTCACAGGTCCTAGTTATGGTAGCACCCATTCCCAGTACCAATTTACTGATCAGCTTTATATCGCTGCCTAACAATCACGGCATCTCAGTGGCCAACAGAAGAAGCAATTGCTTAGCCCAAGCCTCTGTGAGTTCTGTGGGGCTGGCGGATGTAGGCTGGGTCTGGCTGGTGGCTCTGCTCCTCTTGGTCACTCATGCAAGTCAGATGAGCATTGGCTGATCTAGGAGGGTACTAGCTGGGCCACCCTTGCTTCTCTTGGGACCAGGGGCTAGCCCAGCAAGTTTCAAGGATGATGTCAGAAGAGGAAAATAGAAATGAGCAAGGTCCTGTAAGGCTTGGGCTGAACAGTGGCATGCCCTCCCTGTGGACTCATCCTATTGGTCAAAGCAAGTCACATGGCTAGCCTAGCACCAAGGGATGTATACTTGCCCCTTTAGTGGAATCAACTGCAAAATCACATAGCAAAGGACATGAATACAGGAAGAGGTGAGGAACTGGGGACAATGATGGCAATCTGCCACAGTTGCCCTGCCCCGTCTTATGGGTCCACAGAAACCTGAGGTTCTAAAGCCTTTTCTGGTCCATGAACTGTGAAATGATAGGGCTGGGAAGATCACCCCATCTGACCCTGCGGTCCCAGAGAGAGAGAGAGAAGGGAGTTGGGGGCGGGCAAAGGAGAGCTCAGCACCCCCTCTTGTGCCCCAGCACTGCAGCGGTTGCGGGGCACCGCAGATGTAGTGGCGGAGCTGGCGGAGCTGGAGGAGGAACGCGCTGCCTGCCAGGGCCTTCGCGCTAGGCGCCCCTGGGAGCTGTTCCAGGATGGCGCCCTGCGGAGGCAGGTGATGAGCCTGGTGGTACTGAGCAGTGCCATGCAACTCTGCGGGAACGACTCGGTGAGGGCCCTGCCCCGCCCCACACCCTGGGCCTGGGGGCTGTGTGCTGCAGGCCCCTGGGAAAAGGGAGGTTGCAGGGAGTCAGTGGCTCAGAGCCGGCCCAGAGCCAGCCCTGCACCCCTCTCTCCAGTTGTACGCCTATGCCTCCTCCGTGTTCCTGGAGGCGGGAGTTCCCCAGGAGAAGGTCCAGTACGCCATCATCGGGACCGGGTGCTGTGAGCTGCTCACCTTATTTGTCAGTGTGAGTATGACTCTGGGCTGCTCCTCCTCCAGCCCTGACACCCTGAGGACTTCAGTCCCCTTCCTTAAGCCATTTCCCACTCCAAGTCACTCTGATAAAACTTGCTACTTCCAAGTTAGCAAGCATTTATTGAGCATCTACTCTTTGCTGGGCACTCCTACCACCATTTTGAGATGAGGAGACTGCATGAAGTTGAGTGACCTCTGGGAAATTAATATCTTAATCTCCTGAAATCATAAACTGCTCCTTACCCCACCAGCTTCCTCACGAAGCCCCCCATTGCTGCCCACCCCCAAACCAAGGGGACCATGGCCTGGTGGCCGGGCCCAGTGACTGAGAGCCCCTTTCCTTTGCAGTGTGTGATCATTGAGAGAGTGGGCAGGCGGGTGCTGCTCATGGGGGGATACTGCCTGATGACCTGCTGGGGGAGTGTCTTCACAGTGGCACTGTGCCTGCAGGTAGCTGGGCTGGGGGAAGGGCAGGTGGGTGGCTGCTGGCTGATCTCCGCCTCACCCCACCTCTCTGCTACAGAGCTTCTTGCCCTGGATTCCCTACCTGGCCATGTCCTGTATCTTTGCTTTCATCCTTAGCTTTGGCATCGGCCCTGGTGAGTGGGCCCAGGGGCTCTGGGACGTCTGGGTGAAGGATGGGTAGATGTGAAATGCAGTATCACTTGCATGCCCCCACCCCCACCTGTACAAGGCTTCTGGAAGGAGAACACCAAGGGACCCCTACTTCCACGTCTGGGGCGAGGTTGGGGAAAGGCAGGGTGGAGAGTCCTGGCTGGCAGTCCGCTGTTCCTGCTCCTCCTTCCAGCCGGAGTGACAGGGATCCTGGCCACGGAGCTGTTTGACCAGACGGCCCGGCCTGCTGCCTACATGGTCTATGGGGCACTCATGTGGACCATGCTCTTCCTGGTGGGGCTGGGGTTCCCCTTCATCCTGGTAGGTTCGCCCCTCCCCCTAAGGAGCCTGCCTTAGGTTTTATCCCTTTCAGCATGAGAACCCCAGTGGGAGGCCTCTATCCAAGGAGACTGAGACTGAAGAGGGTGGGGCTTATCTAAGCAAAGAGGAACAAATCCCTCTCATCACTGACCTGTTATGGGGTCTTCCGTCTGGGGGCTGAATGGGGCCACACCAGGTCTCAGGGTCTCTTTCATTCTACAGAAGAAATTGTCACACTTCTTCTATGTGCCTTTCCTCGGCGTCTGTGTCTGTGGGGCACTCTACACTGGCTTCTTCCTCCCTGAGACCAAAGGCAAGACCTTCCTGGAGATCTCCAAGGAATTGCACAGACTCAACTTTCCCAGACGAAGCCAGGGCCCCACATGGAGGGGCCCGGAGATCATCAGGTCCACAGAGCTATAGCTCCACAGGTGCGGCTGGGGCCCAGTTCCAGCTGCTGCTCTTCCCTTTGCTTCCTCTTCATTCACTGGTGCCTGCATTTGTTCTTTTAATGAGTGTTTGTTAAATGAGCACCTACTGTGTGTAGGCATGGTGCCAGGTGCTTAGCAATAGTCTTGAGCCAGAGAGATGGAATCCGGGACCGTTTGGTGCTCCCCAGCTAGAGGCAGTTAACAGGAAACCAATAAGAACTAACTACAAACTTGGAGAAATGCAGTGGAAGAAAAAATACAGGTTGCGAAGGGTGTGTATCCTGGGGGGAATGACCCAGTTTGATGGGGGCGTGGTCAGAAAAGGACTTTCTGAGGAATTGATTTTTAAAGATCAACTTTATTGAGGTACGATTTACATACAATAAAACGTATCCATATTAAGTATACATTTGGTGAGTTTTGATAGATTCCACCCTTGATACCACCAAACCACCACAATCAAGGTAGAACATTCTTCCTTATGCCAAAAATCTTCCCAAAATCTTCCTCATGCCCCTTTGTGATGAATAACCCACCCCCATCCCCAGCCCCAAGCAACCACTGACCTGCTTTCTGTCACTATAGGCCAGATTTGCCTTATTTTAAGAATTTGATATAATTCTTATGTATTTATGTCTGGCTTTGTTCCAGATAAATTTTTTCGAGACTCATGCATGTTGTCACATATATTAGTATATACTCCTTTGTATTCCCAAGTAGTATTTCGCTATATGGATATACCATAATTTCTTTATCCATTCACCTATTGGACATTTGGGCTGTTTCTTATTCTTGGCCATCATGAATAAAACTGCTATGAACATTTCTGCATAGGTTGCTGTGTAGACATATGTTTTCATTTCTTTTGGGTAAATGAATTGCTGAGTTTAATAATGAAGGTATGCTTAGCTATAGAAGAAACTTTTCCAAAGTGATTGCACTGTTTGACATTCCCACTAGCAAAGTATGAGAATTCCAGATGCTCCAGATCCTCATCAGTACTTAGTATTGTCCATCTTTTAAATTTAGCCACTTAGTGAGTGTGTAATGGTGTCTCATTGTGGTTTAATTGTGGTATTTCCCTGATGACTCACTATGTTGAGCATCTTTTCATCTGCTCAGTCTGGCCATTCATTCATCTATCTTCTTTTGTGAAGAATCTGTTCAAATATTTTGTTTAGTATTTATGAAAAATATTTTCTTAAGGACTTCATTTTGCTAGAGCAGTTTTAGGTTCACGGCAAAATTGAAAGGAAGGTGCAGAGATTTCCCGTATCTCCCCTGTCCCCACACATGCACAGCCTCCTCCATTATCAGTGTCTCCTGGCAGAGTAGGACGTTTGTTACAATCAATGAACCTACAGTGACACATCATTATCACCCAACGTCCACAGTTTACATTAGGGTTCACTGTTGGCGTTGTACATTCTATAGGTTTAGACAAGTTTATAATGACATGTATTCATCACTATAGTATCATACAGAGTAGTTTCACTGCCCTAAAAATCCTCTGTGCTCTGCCTATGGTAGAGGGTTTAGAAGGAAGGTGCCAGCCTCAGAGCCTGGTTGTCTCAAGACAGGGAGAACCTGGGTCTAGGCCCTTGGGGAAACAGTACTGTCACCATGAGAGAGATGCTCCACCCTCTTTTGGGTCTCCATCCGTGCCGACATCCCGACCCAGACCTGGTTGGGAAGAGGTGTAGAGCAAGGCAGAGCCTCTGTCCTCAGGAAGACAGGAAGGCCGGGGACATGGCTCTGTCAAGGAGGAGTCTGGCCTGGCCTCTTCTCTCCCTCCCCCAAAACTCCACAGGCCCGGCCCCTACTGCTGGCCAGCTGCCCAGTGTCCAGGGTGCTCCAGCTTGCTCCTGCTCCCCTAGAGCCAACACTATCTCATCACTGACAGTGGAGACCCCCAGGCCTGCCTGGCAGGTAAGTCCCTGAACTTGGGTCCCCAGACCAGGCTGGAGGGTTTCCCACAAGTCTGTGTACCCAGCTAGACCCTTCATGTCCTTGTCTGCTGGTTTCTGTCAGGCTCCAAATCCCCCTGAAATACTTTCCCCCCCATACCAAAATGCTCCCAGCTCGGCCCACCTATCCAGACTGCAAACCCCAGATGGACCCTCTCTACTGCCCAGAGCACTTGGTCAGCTCCCTGCATCCCTCCTTCCCTTGCTTGCTGGTTACCTAGGCTGTGAGTTTCTGCTTCTCAGGGCCTCCCGCCAGGGGTCCAGCCTCTTCTACTAGGCCAGCAGACAGTGGTCCATTGGGTGGGGTGTGGAGTGGCTGCCTGGCTGTCGGGTTCCACATGGTGCTGAGGGTCAGGTTGTGCAGCTTCCAATGGCTGCCTTCTGTTCTCCCACATTTGCTTCCTTCCACTCCTCTCTTGGACCCTTGAGACTCTGGTTCCTCTTTGTTGAGACACAGGTCACTCTCTTCGTGCCTCAGCTGAAGCATTCATTGACCCTTTGGTTTACACATCTTCTCTCAGGGCCCACTGCATCCTGAGGTGGCTGCCCCAGTCCCTGTCCTCGGCTGTGCCCAAGGTTGTGCAGAGGCAGGCAGTGACCCTCAGCTCGCAGAAAGAGAAACAGTCTCTCAACACCACCACCACCATTCAGAGCTGATATCTGTGGACGGTTTTCTGCCTGTCAGGCAGTTCTGAGTGCTTCACCAGTGTTGGCCTCTTTAATCGTAACAGGGACCCCATTTAATAAGAACTTTTATAATCCCATTTTCACACAAGAGAAGCAGAGGCACGTGAAAGCAGTGACTCATCCAAGGTCACACCACTAGGTGGCAGGGCCAGGACTGGGCCTGGTGATCTTAACCACTGCACCACACTGCCTCCTCTGTTCTGGCTGTTCTGCAACCCGATGCCCATTCTGCCTGGGAGGCCTAGAGGCCACCCTGAAAGGTCCAAGGTGACACTGTGGATTAGGATGCAGCTGGGGCTTAAGCCAGTATTCCCTGAGGGCAGGGCCAGGACAGGGATGTGAAGGACATGGAGGCTGAGTGGCCACAGTTCAGGCTCAGCAGAGGCAGGTGGGACACTATAGGTGGCACTGGCAACAGAGCCTGTGGGAGGTGAGGTTGTGTCCCATTGGTTTCCTAGCTCCATTCTGTAGGCAGCAGGGAACCACTGAAGATTAGAGAGAACCAGACACCCAGAAAGACAAAGACACTAAGGGGGAGCCCAGGTCCTATCCCCATGGTCTTGGAAGTGAGTAACATCCAAGGGACAGATCCCGACTTTTTGCCTACTCAGTCCTATTTGGCTCCGGGTGGCTAGGAAAGGAGGCTGAGAGCCAGGAGAGGGTGGACACAGAGGGGAAGAAGACAGAGCTCCAGGCCTGGCGCATACACACACACACACACATGCATGCACACATGCACACATATGCTTTCTTTAGAGGCAGACCATGAAAATGTAGCCATGGAAACCCGGAGATGGGTGGATTTTTAGCTGGGAAGGCTTCCTGGGGGCCATGGGTGCTATAAGTGAGGATGGTAAAGGCTGAGTATGGGGGCGGGGCGGGGGAGGTACAGGAAGGGAAGGCCAGCATTCACCTGGATTTCATGTGGGAAAGAGGCTCTGAGATGGGGGTGGGTGAAAGCCAGTCTGGAGAGTTTATTCTGTAATCATGGGAGCCAGACCCTCCAATGGTCTCTTCCCATGTCACTTCAATGACCAGTGTCCCTACACTCCCTGAGCCCCCACCCCCGACTGAAGTGCATGCTTACACCTCAGTGTTCCAGGAGGTGAGGGTATCTGAGATAGTCAGTACCCCACCTTTGGGACAGGTTGCTGTGAGCTCTTGTGGCTCTTGTCCATGTGAGTCTGAGCTGCTCGTGGCTCTTGTCCATGTAAGCCGAACCACTGTCACCTCCTGTGCAGCAGTTGGAGCAGGCCCATTCCCTGGGGTTTCCCGAGCAGCCTGGCCTCAGTTTTGGTGGGGCCCCTCGAGGGGAGGGGCAGGTGGTAACAGAAACTGGCCCCAGGGAAAGAAAGCACAGTTGCCTGCTCTGCCTAGATGCCCACCTTAGGGTTCAATCCTGTTCTCCCATTTCCTGCTTTAGGACACTTGGTTGCAATGCAATAAGATCAGGTAGCGTTTATTGAGCACCTATTGTATGGCAGGAACTTTGAGCTTATCTCCTTTGATCCTCACACAAGGCTCTGGATACGGAATTATCACTGCCATCTTGAGATGATGAAAATGAGGCTCAGAGAGCTTAAGTGACTCAGTCCAGATCACCCTGCTGGCCACGATCCCTGGCTCCCCACTGAGCCTACGCCCTTCCTCTGTAGTGTGGTATTCTCCTGGCAGACACCCCTCTTTGCAGTCTTGTACCTTTAGGTATGGTTGGGTGGGTGTCACCAGTAGGGGTGATGACCCCAAGGTCCTCTTCCACTATGATTAGAGGGGAATGGAGTATCTTTGTCTTTGCTGTGACTTTTACCACATTCAGTGAACAAGGGCACAGAGACTGGTGAGTGAGGGACGGTCAGGGGTTAGGGCCAGCTGGGTTCTTGGGACGAGAGGGAGATATGAACTGTGTATGGCTGGGGTGTGATACTGAGGGACATGAGGTTGATGAGGGAGCAGTGGGAGCAGTGGGAGGGTGGACTATCCATCGACATGAACAGATGACCTGGTCCATGTCAGGAAGAAGCAGCGAAGGGAAGAGCAGGTCGCCCCTCAGGGGGACCTGGCAAGCCCTTTCCCACCATGCCCTCCATCTGGCATGGGAAATTCAAGTTCTGCCCTTGCAGTTGTTCAACCCAGGGGCTGGCTACCCACTTCCAGGGCCTGCCAGGTGCTCAGTGTAAGCCATGGTCCTCCTCATCTAGCTGATGACTCCTTACATTGTGAGGTTTTCTTCCACCCACTTTCTCTACCTGACAGCCCTTACTCACAGAATGTGATGCTCAAGAAGTCCTCTGCACAAGCCAGGAGTTACACTAGAGCTGAATTCTAACAAACAGTGCTTTGAACAGAGAAGGGTTTAATTCTCTTCTTTAACTGCCAGCTGAATGGGGCTGAATGGGGCTGGGCAGAGCTGTCAGAGCCCCAGGCACCCCTAGGTTTCCATTTCCCACTCCTTTGCCTGTGTTTTTCCAGCTCACAGTTGCGCAACAGCTCATGCACAACCAGGGGTTATGTCCAAGTTCCAAGCAGAGGAAGGAGAAAGTGGGTAGGATGGCGCCTCTGTCGGCCAAGCAGCTGCTTCCCCATAAACCCTGAACGTCGCATGCCATAGCTTCCTCAAATGGCCACATCTGGTTGCCAGGGGCTCTGGGGCAGTGAATGTTCTAACCAAACAGAACTGGGATTCTGTCAGTGAGGAGGAAGGGGAAAAGGATCTCAGGCAGGGCAGCAGCCCTGTCTGCCAACGCTGCATAGAGCAGGTGTCCTGTCGTTTAGCAGATAACTACTGAACTCCATTAATGCCAGTGTATTACTTTTCTATTGCTCCTAGAACAAATTACCACAAATTTAGCAGCTTAAGACAAAACAACACACATTTATTATCTCACAGTTTCTGTGGGTCAGATGTCCAGCATGGCATGACTGGGTCTTCTGCTTACAGTCTCGCACAGCTGAAGTCAAGGTGTCTCAGGTTGACTAGGGAAGAATCTATTTCCACATTCATTCAGGCTGATGACAGAATTCAGTTCCTTGCAGTTGTACAACTGAGGCTCCTGGCCCTCTTCATCTTCAAAGCCAATAATGGCCCATGGATTCCTTTTCCTGCTTCGAGTCTCTCTGATCTCCCCTTCTGCCACATCGCTCTGACTAGCTGGAGAAAATTCTCTGCTTTTAAGGACTCATGTGATTACATTGGACCCACCCAGATAATCCATGATAATCTCCCTAATTACACCCCATAACTTTAATTACATCTGAGAGATGCCTTTTGCCATATAACGTAACATATTCAGAGTTTCCAGGGATTAGAGCGTGGACATCTTTGGAGGCCATATGCTTACCACCAAGGTACCAGGTCAGGAGGTAGTCAGACAGCAATGGCCAGAAAGAGACAGTCTCCACTCCCATGGAGCTTACCCTCTACAAAGGAAAGTTAACTCACCAATGGAAATGTGTTGGCCTTGAAGGACAGGACGGATGCTGGGCACATGACAGACCCGACAGAGCCAGGAGCTCTGGGGACTTTCTTAAAGAACTGAGCCTGAGTCAGATGAGAAAAAGTGAGGGCAAACTGAATCTCAAGACCAATGCTCAAGCCGGGAGCCAGGAGCATGGCACTAAAGGCCAGTGCACAAGACCCGGAGAACAAGAGTGTGGTGCAAGATGCAGGGTGGGGAGGTCACCCAGGGCATTGTGACAATACTGCCTCTAACATCAGAGACACTATCACCAGTATTTAGGCCACTTGATCCTCACAATGCACCTTTGTAAGGTGGACACTGCTGCCATCCCCAAATTATAGGTGGGGAAATTGAGGCTCAGAGAGGTTAGCCAAGTGTCCAAGCTAGTAAGAAGGGAGACTGGGAATCATCACCTCCTCAGAAAATTGGTGCTCACTGTTACCAGAAACAGGTTGGGGGATGGTAAGAGCAGATGGCAAATGGCTCAAGTCACATGGCCAGATGTCACGGGCTCCTCTCTGAATTCACACTGCCAGATGTCACGGGCTCCTCTCTGATAAGTGGAGGCTCCCTTATGCTACAGTTACAACCTGAAAATGGCAGTGGTTTAACTACAGGGGCATTGCAGGTGTTTGCTGGCCAGGCTACACCTTGTCACCTACTTCCACTATCTCAGAGAGCAGCAAACCAGGTGCTGGCTCTTAAATTTTCTGCCTGGAGTCATGTCACTTCTGTTCACATTTCACTCAGCAAGGCAAGTCACAAGGCCAGATCTGCTGTCAGGATAAGGGAACTGGGCTTCTCCCCCAGGAGTTCAGGCTAGGCCAAAGATGATGTGGGTGGAGAGAAGTGAGGATAAATAAAGAGGGCCAATGGGTAGATGTACATTTCACTGGCAGGCAATCAGGTGTGAGAGGAAAAGTAATGTACTTAGATTTGAACATAAAGAACAGAAAGTGCTATGTTGGCTGCTGGGGCTCAGAATGGCACCCCAGGCCAGAGACATATCACAGAGTCCATCGTCAAGGCCAGCTGGTGCTGTGCTACCTTAATCGGTTGCACCTACCTGAGACCTAGGACAAGACTTTTCTGGAGAGCTCTGAGGACTTGGCCAAACACAACATGCCTCCTCCAGCACTTGAGATTCATTCCCCAGTGTGGCACTCTGACCAGGCGACTCCTCAGAGCGGAGTGGGAATGGCCACTTAGCCACAGGCCCTCCTGCCCAGCGATGACAGGGTCTGTAGGCTCATCCCCAGCCCTCCCTTTGGTCAGGGTCCTAATCCAGTTGCTCCCTGGCCTTTTCCTGCCTTGTCATGGCTATCTTCATTCACCTATTCATTCATTTAGCCAGTATATTAGTCTTGTGTGCTTCGCACCCACTTAGATGTCTGCTGAGCTGAGTTAGTGGAAGAGACAAAGAATTCACCAGGGGCTAAGAGGGCACCCTAGAGAGTGGGACTAGGGTGGAGCTTCCCTGAGGAGCTGAAGTTCCTGGACTTGCAGAGAAGTTGCCCAGGGGATCTCAAGTTTGGGGGTGGGCGCTGAGGCTGAGTTGCTGACAGCCTTTGGCCTATGAAGCTCCTTCTGGCGTCATCTACTCCCCGCCTATAGGAGCCTCCCAGCATTCTCGCCCACCCTGAAAGGGAGTAGTGCAGGGAAGGAAACTAGATGTTAACGCTGCGTTGCTGCCCTCCTCCCACCTGCAGCAATGACTATCACTCTCCAACGCCCTCGCACGCGCACACACACGCACACAGATACATACAGGACTGTAGCCCTTAGGGACTTGTGGCCCCTGAGACTCAGGACGCACAAGGGCTCAGTGTGTGTGGTTGATGAACTGGGACTTGATCTACCTGGCCAGCTCTGAGCCCCTGGAGGGCCAGGGGCCATCTGTGCTTATTAACTGCTGCATCCCAAGCTCCCACTACACAGACGTCACTGAGAAAGCATCATTAAACGAAAGGACAGAGAAAAGAACAGGCAGATGTCTAGCCACCTATTGGAGAAAGCTACACAGACGTCACTGAGTAAGCATCATTAAACGAAAGAACAGAGAAAAGAAGAACAGGCAGATGTCTAGCCACCTATTGGAGAAAAGCTTCAAGGGGATGCGCAGGGTTAGGGGGCCCTAGCTGAAGTACAGGCGGTGGACGCCACCCGGAATCCAGCCCACCGCTTCCGCCGCCGGCGACGTCACCAATCCGGAGGGAGCCACGGTCCCGTGGGGGCGGGGCCTCCGCCGGCGGTAGCGTCACGGGAAGCGAAGCCGCTGCCGCCAGGGGCCGCACAGGGGCAGCACTGGGCGGCGGTCACGTAGGTCAGGTTTCCCGGCTGCAGCGGCGCACGTTGATCTGTTCCTGTGCCACAGTCCTCGCCGTCCCTCTGCCATCATGCCGATGTTCGTGGTGAATACCAACGTGCCCCGTGCCTCGGTGCCAGCCGGGCTCCTCTCCGAGCTCACCCAGCAGCTGGCACAGGCCACTGGCAAGCCGGCCCAGGTTTGCCGGGAGGGAACAGGAAGAGGGGGTTGGAGCAGAGGGAGGCGGCTCAGGAGGGGAAGGGGCGGGTAGGGGCGCCCCAGGCCGGGTGAGGTCTCTAGAGCCCTCTGACTGCGTCCCCTCCCTCCGCAGTACATCGCGGTGCACGTGGTTCCGGACCAGCTCATGGCCTTCGGCGGTTCCAGCGAGCCGTGTGCGCTCTGCAGCCTGCACAGCATCGGCAAGATCGGCGGTCCGCAGAACCGCTCCTACAGCAAGCTGCTGTGTGGCCTGCTGGCCGAGCGCCTGCGGATCAGCCCGGACAGGTGAGGGGAACGCCGGGGGCCAGGGGCAGGGGGCAGAGGGCGTGCAGTCGATGGCCCGCGAACGTGCAGCCAGCTCAGCCCGGCTTCCATCCTCCACAGGATCTACATCAACTACTACGACATGAACGCGGCCTACGTGGGCTGGAACGGCTCCACCTTCGCCTAAGGCCAGCCCGGACCCGTCCGCAGTATTTTGCCTGCCCTGCTCCCAGCGACCTCCACCTCCCAGTCGGTAGAAATAAACGGTTTGGAGACCGCGGCTGTCTCAGACTTCTTGGGCTTAATGAGGAATCTGGGCGGGGACAGTGACTGGGGAACCAAGGCCTGGAGAGGTGCCTCGGTCTCAGACTTCCTGGGCTTATGGAGGAATCTGGGCGGGGACAGTGACTGGGGAACCAAGGCCTGGAGAGGTGCCTCGGAATCTGTTGCCCGGTGCCTTTTGCCCAGTTATTGATGGCAGTGCTGCCCTTGGCCATAGACCCAAGAATCAAACTCGAATGAAAGCCTCTCAAGGCAGGTTTATGGCTGCGTTGGGCCAGTGTTGAGTCGTTTCCACCCGCAGGAGCAGGGCCACCACATGGGCTAGGGCTGGCAGGGAAGAGGAGGAGGGAGGGTTGAGGATTCAGACTTGATTGGCCTGAGAGGTTGGGGGATCAGCTGGGCCTGGATCTTTCTCTCAGCCCCGCTTTCCTCCATCTATCAGATGGGCAAATGGTACCCTAGGGAGAGAAAGCCTCCTCCTCAACACCACCCCAGGTCACTTTCTGCTAGGCTGGTGCCCCAGTTTCTTAACCTGGAAAATCCCATTGTTTTAGAACTTTGGGAATCAGTATCAAGGTCCAGTGTGATTGGGGTCTCCTGGCCCAGGATCCCTTCAGCCAAGTGAAGCGTCTCCTTTGTGGGGGTGGTAATAGGCCATTGGGCAATTTTAGTGCCTAAACATGGACCGCAAGGGCCTTGGCTGCCTTTCTGCCCATCCTCCCTGCTAGAGAGTGGCCTGCCAGAATGCCTCACCACCCGGCAGAATGAGAGCCTTTATGTGCTCCAGCAGCAGATGCCAAGCAAGGGCCAACCACTGTCACTAGGGATTCACCTGCCTGGAGCTGGCATTAGTCAGCCAGGGCCAGCACTGGTATCTTTGCCAAAGTGAAAGGCTAGCTTGACCCTACCTGCATTACCTGCCCTGTAGAGGAAGTGACGTTTATTTCAGTTGTTTGCACAGAGAGGAAGCTCCTTGGACCCCGTGAATACCTTTCCTGGGAACTTGATAAAGGTGGGGCCTCACTTCTGGACCCCTGCTGGCCCAACTCTTTCTCAGTCTCAAGGCAAGAACATCCTAGATGGATGGTGATTTTTTAAATTCCATCAAATTTAAGTGAATTTGTGTTTGTAAGTTGAGGGGCTCTAGGGAAAGGAGTACTGCCTGACCCAAGACTGGAGCCCATTACTTCCCTTCTGACATTGGGAGTGCCTCTGAGCCACAGGCAGTGATACACTCCTTCCTTGGGATAGCTGCCAGTGGCCCAGCCCATACTGCACCATGGGCTGGGCACAAGGCAGTGTCTGCTGTAGCGTCTGAACACACAGTAGGCATGGGCAGGAACCTCCTGGTGTGCTGCCCAGACTTGAATATGACAACTTCAGTACAACCCAGGCCCAGGGCTGCTGAGCCCAGTCAGTTGGTGCTTTCCACATGGATCCACATTCTCCCTCTCTTCAATCACAGCATTCTTGGCAGAATTTGTCCTTGGGGGCAGCTCACCATCGTCAGCTTGGTGGTCAAGGTGCTTGAGAATTGCTGCTTTTCAGTCCAGGTGCCAGAGGTGCTCTCTCCGCTCAGCCCTGGGTAGCAAGGATTTATTTCCAGAAAAGCAGTGAGAATAGCTTGGGGGGTGTCTGGAAGGGTATGGCCCATTTTGTGAGGTAGGATTCTCCTTTTCCACAAAGGTCTCTGAGGGTCTTGCTCTAGCTCACCTCTGACTCATTCTGTTTTCAATGAAAAGGCCATGGAACCCAACACCTTTCTCTGCTGAGTGGGGAGCATGGTCCCAGCTGCAGTCAAGGTCCCACTCATCCCAGCCTAGCTTTCAGGCTGGGGCTTCCCTCATGGATCTGAGTACCTGCTGAATAACAGGCTCCCGTCTTGGTCCTGGCCTTTGTCACATCACCTCAGCTTCTGTGTGCCCTGAGCCTACCAGTTCCTAACACAGAACCTCTCCTCTGCTTGAGGTCCCACTCTACCTGGCCCTTAGCCTTTACCTCTCAGGGCTGCATCATACATGGTCATGAGGGATTAGGAGTGTGGGTCTCTGTGAGTGTCTAGTCAAATGCCCTCATTTTACAGATGAGGACACTCACCCTGGGTCCCCTGGGTGTGCCACTACCCAGAGCTCAGTCACACATTCACCCCCACTACCCCC